AAACATTAATAAAAGCACGAGTAAAAACAGATATTTAAATCCCCTGCGGATTTGCAATTCCTCACATTAGCATCCCTTTTCCGGAAAGGGATGCCAATGTAGACGTAGCCATAGGGAAGAGGAACACACGTATACAGACTCAAACATTAATAAAAGCACGAGTAAAAACAGTGGCTTTAGCCTGACGCCGAAACAACGCTAGAGTTGGCGCCATGCGAATATCCCGAGGAAGAGAATTCCACAGCCTGGGAGCAAAAGCTGAGAATGCCCTGTTCCACGTAGATGTTAATCTTATCTCTACACGAAGCAAAGTGTCTCCAGCTGACCTCAATCCCTGGGTAGGTTCATATGGGAGAAGACGGTCCTTCAGATACCCTGGACTCAACTCATTTAAGGCTTTATCGGTCATAACTAAAGCCTTAAACTGTGCCCGGAAACGTACCGGATGCCAGTGCAGCTGCCTAAGTACTGGCATAATGTGCTCCGTATAACTAGTGTTAGTTAAAACTCGAGCAGCTGCATTCTGGACCAGCTGAAGTTTCTGAAGGCTCTTAAGAGGCAGCCCTACATAAAGTGCATTACAGTAATCCAGTCGGGATGTAACAAGAGCATGAATCACTGTGGCTAAGTCATGTTTGTTCAGTAAGGGTCGCAGCTGGCAGATCAAACGAAGTTGCCCAGAGGCACTCCTGGCCACCGAAGAAATCTGATTTTCAAATGTTAAAAAAGGGTCCGGGAGGACTCCCAAGCTGCGTACCTGTTCTTTCAGGGGGAGAGTAACCCTGTCTAGAACACGTGCCATGACACATTCATGAACAGATGGCCTCCTGATCCACAGGATCTCAGTCTTATCTGGGTTCAACTTCAGCTTATTTGACTTCATCCAAACCATCACTGCCTCCAGACACTGATTTAGATCAGTCACTGCCACACCTGGTTCTAATGTCACAGGGAAATAGAGTTGGGTGTCATCTGCATATTGATGGCACTGTCCTCTAAAACTCCTTATGACCTCTCCCAGCGGCTTCGTGTAGATATTAAACAGCATAGGGGACAAGATGGAACCTTGCGGGACCCCATAGCACAATCGTCACGGGTTGAATAGCAGCCCCCTAGCTCCACTTTCTGAAAGCGTCCTGACAGGTAGGACTGGAACCATTGCAAAACAGTGCCTCCAGTACCCAACTCCAGCAGGCGTCCCAGAAGGATATCCTGGTCAATGGTATCAAAAGCCGCTGAGAGGTCTAGGAGAATCAACAGGGATGCACTCCCCTTGTCTATCTCCCGGTATAAATCGTCTACCAGGGCGACTAAGGCTGTTTCAGTTCCAAAACCATTTCTCTCCATCTTTCCAACTTACTCTCCCCCTCTGAGTCCCTTTTAGTGAAGCTTGCACTTACCAAAGCAATATATCCATAGCCCCAGTTCCTGACCATGACTCCCTTGGTTGCTTAGGGACAGATGACTGACAAAGTTTCTTAATCACTGATCTAGAATGATTTCTGAGCCTGTGTAATAATGAAAAAATATGACTTACAGCAAATTATATCATTTACTTATAATGTAAATTGATGTAAAAATCTTAACATCATTTACCTTTAAATTGAAGCAATGATATCACTATGGTTTTGTTTACTATATTTTTACCATTAAGCTTTGTTTTGAACACTTGTCAGTACAAGATACTTTGAAAACTGAGACTTGAAAAAAAAATACTGAAGTTAAAGATAAATGAGGGCACCACCTTAAATCATTTTTCTTTTCCTCTGCAGTTAGTAATTTACAGCTGAGAAAGACATCAGTACATAAGACATGAACTTAAATGAAAGCTCTTTATGCACCAGTACAACTCTATAGAATTTATAACCAAGATATAACATGAAGTATGTTTTGAAGATGTTCATAAATATAATATTCGATCAGCAATCATGTATGAAAAGCTATTGAGGCCTTTGGTTTTCCTGATTTATGGTTGCACAAAAAGCTAGAGAGGGGGAAAACAATTTTATTGTGCATTCCTACCAACACCCAATAGTCCTTTTGAAACCTTAGGGATCTTTCTGTTTTTATCACAACT